CGGGAAGCGCTTGCCCTCGCGCATGCAGCCCAAGAGCGCGATCAGAGGGTCCCCCGGCTCGAAGCGCTTTGTGCCCTTCAGCTCGAAGACGCAGGGGATCTGAGAGAAGACCCTGATGGCGTGCTGGATCTCCACCGTCGGCGGCTCCGCGTACTTGTACGAGCCTTTTCCGTCGTCCAGGCGCTCGTTCACGTCCGTCAGGAGCCCGATGCTGTCGGTGGGATTCAGCAGCAGGAAATCGCCGAGGTGCAGCACGATGGGGACGCGTCCGAAGTGGTGGTGCGGCCGCTTGTAGGTGGACTCCTGCACGTCGTGCGTGTCACTGCGTTCGTGGCAGGCGCGAAGGCCCAATGCGTTGTATAGAGCTGCCGCCACCATGCTGACCTCCTCGATGACCAGAACGCGGACGTGCTCCCACAGCCATGTCAACCTCTTCTGCATGCACCCCGGTCTCATCTTCGCGTTGATGTGCTTCTGGACTCGCAGGGCACAGGCGTTGTGCAGCGCTCTAGCCTTCACAGTCTCCGTGGAGATGTTCTTCGCCTGCGCGTTCGAGAAGGCCACGACCATCATGGCGCCCTTGTCCGTCGACGACGGGGGCCACAAATACTCCACCACGGGGAAGACGATCTTCTGCGCCACGTGCGTCTTCCCTCAGAGACGAGGCTCCCGCCTGATACTTCCTCCATATTCAAGGGCCTCAAGAGCCCAGCAGCGACGAGAGCTACAAGGTTCCGATGACCCGCTCGGATTAGTAACATGGACTGCGGGCCCCATACGGAGGGGGCTCCCGTCTGAGACTTCCTCGCAATTCACTCACAGACGAGGCTCCCGCCTGATACTTCCTGAATGTTCAAGATTCAGAGGCCCAAAAGTGACGACGGTTACACGGTTCCGATGACCCGCTCGGATTAGTAACATGATCTGCGGGCCGCATAGGGAGGGGGTTCCCGCCTGAGACTTCCTCGCAATTCACTCAGAGGCTCCCGCTGGATGACGACATGATGAGTGAGCGAATGATGATGATGATGATGATGATGATGATGATGATGATGATGATGATGAGTGTGTGATGAATGAGTGATGATGATGATGAGGACGAGGATGGTGATGGTGATGACGATGATGATGCTGATGAGGATGATGATAATGGCCACTTAGTGGGTGGTCGAAGGATTATGATGGAGATGGTGACGAGGATGTTGAGCCTGGCGGCGGTCCTACCGTCGGAGAACCACTGCCTCCGAAGCCTACTGAAGATGAGTGAGTAATTGCGTGAGTGAGTGGGTCATCGAATGGTGATGATGGTGACGATGATGATGAGGATGATGATGATGACTAGTGATGACGGTGATGGTGGTTGATGGTGATGATGATGGTAATGATGATGAGTGTGTGCGTGTGACGGCGATGGTGGTCGTTGGTGGTGATGATGATGGCGATGATGGTGAGTGAGAGAGAGAGAGAGAGAGAGAGAGAGAGAAAAGGAGAGGAAAGGGGGTGTGTGAGATCCTGCGCGGCGTGCGCAGAGAAAACAAGAACCCCACTTTGGATGTGGGGAAATACACTGAATTTTCAGGGCTGTACACGCGCTGCAGGCTGAACCACTCAGCGCCCAGTCCTCAGTACACCGCCTCCCAGTGCCGACGGGAGCCATGCGGCTGTGCCCAAGGCGCAACTGCGATGCCGATCCCTGGGGCGGAGAGATCCGCTGGCGTGGTGAGCACCGCCGTCGGGTGGTGATGACGTCTGCGCTGCCTGCCAGGGGGGTCCTGCTGCAGTGGAGGCAAGTGAGAGGCCGGTGGAGTGAGTCGCCTGTGGGGCGCCAGACTCCGAACGCCCACGACGACGACTGCAACTCAGGGAGCAGCTGTCGCGGAACATGGTGCAGCGCACTGGCCAGAAGCTGGTGGATGAGCCTGGGGTGCTGTACCTGCTGCGGAAGGCTGAACCACTCCGTGGCGACCCAACACCCGAGAGACAACCCCACAGAGCATGAAGGGAACAAGCCACTGTGGGCCACGCAGCGCGTGCCGGCACGGCGCCAGGTCTCAGAGAGGGGGGGAGGGCCCGCAGGCGAGGGATGCACCGCCAGCGGGAGGAGAGAGGGGGGGGCGGCACTGGTGATAGTGCTGCCCTCAGCGGCGCCATAGGGCGGAGCGCCCGGGGGAACTGCACTGTGGAGGACATGGGGGCCAGGAGGCAAGCCAGGCCCAGTGCGCCGATTGGCACTGCCCCCCAGACCCGTGACCCTACACACACCACGAGGTCCTCCAGGGCCGAAGCAAACTCCGCAGTGGGAGCCAAATTCCAAGAAGCGCGGAACACGGGCGGCCCTGGGAGGGGGGGCAATCACCCTGACGTCTGATAGCACGTCTGGCAGGCCCCGGGGCCGAGGGCGGGGGACACCCGCCAGGCCCGAGAGGGGAGAGGCGAGGGGGAGCACCGTCTCGCCCCTCGGCCTGGCCCCGAATCCGAGGGCAAGGGGCCATGGTCATCTCTTGGGTCATTCTTGGGGGTCGCAGCTGATCGCCGCTATGACGTCTCTGGAATCTCCTTGGGGATCGCAGCTACTCGCCGCTGAGATCCTGGGGGTCGCAGTTACTCGCCGCGAGCACCTGCGTGGAAGAACGGGGGGTCGCAGCTGACCGCCGCTAGGATACATTTTACATCGAGGGGGCCGCAGCTAATCGCCGCTGAGGTCACTGTTGAATGTGTGCGAACGGGTGATGGCCCACCGAGGCCGCAGTCCACTGCGAACGGGTGACGGCCCACCAGGGCCGCGGTCGACGCGGAATGTGGGCCAGCAGCGAGATGCGCCTCCTGGGGTGGGTCCTGGGGAATCGCAGCTACTCGCCCCTGGAACTGAAGCTGCCAAAACTGAAGCCTGAAACGACAGGCTGGTAGGCTGGCGCGCAGGGGGGGTGTGCTTCTGTCGACGTCTCCCTGTCACCGCATATCGCCGCTATGATCTCTATTTGAGGGAAGGTGTGTCCGGATGCGGCTCCTTTCGTTGACACGGGGGTTGCAGCTAACCGCCGCACATCACAATTTGATGGTCGGTGTGTCCCCTGAACCCAGCGCTGCCACTGACGACGCGGGCACCAACTTAGCTTCCCACATCCCGGCAATGCGCCGGAGCATGTGGATCACGATTGAATGGATGGTGCCTCCGCCTCCGCTGAACCGACAGCACCGGGATGCAAGAGTACCTGAGCCCCAGAGGGCGGACCCGAGACCAACAGCAGACACCCCAGGGAGGACAGCGCCAGGATGCAAGAGCCCCAGGAGTACCCGCGGGACACACACTCAGATCCCACTGCAGTCACAGGTCACGTTGGCCACCTGCCGCCATGCTGGGCAGAAAGGAGTTGCAGCCAGTGTACACCCTTCACGCACCTGCTCTCAGCGCAACAACTGGTGACAGTGGGCGCCGTGAACACAAAGCGTGCACGGGGGGGTGGCGAAGGACGGCCCTTGGCTACCAGAGCAGGGATGCGAGAGTGCCTTGAGCCCCCGTGAGAGGCCCCGAGCCCGTGGTCCAGGCAGGCCCCCGCGTGCGTCCAGGGTCGTTGTGTCCGGTGGCGGTCCCTTTCGTTGACTCGGGGGTCGCACCTGACCGCCGCACATCACGATTTGATGGTACGTGTGTCCCCTGACCCCAGCGCTGCCACTGACGACGCGGGCACCGACTTAGCTTCCCACATCCCGGCAATGCGCCGGAGCATGTGGATCTCTATGATAGGATGGTGCCTCCGCCTCCGCTGAATCGACAGCACCGGGATGCAAGAGTACCTGAGCCCCAGAGGGCGGACCCGAGCCCGAACGGCAGACACCCCAGGGAGGACAGCGCCGGGATGCAAGCGCCTCTAAAGTACCCGCGGGACACCCGTCAGGCCCCACTGCAGTCACAGATCACGTTGGGCCCCAATGCCACCTGCCGCCTTGCTGGGTGGGGAGGAGCTGCTGCCAGTGTCCACCCTTCACGCACCTGCTCTCAGCGCTGCAACTGATGACAGTGGGCGCCGTGAAGACGAAGCGTGCACGGGGGGGTGGCGAAGGACGGCCCTTGGCTGCAGGGTCGCTGGGTCCAGCGGGGGTCGCAGCTAACCGCCGCACATCACAATTTGATGGTCGGTGTGTCCTGTGTCCCCTGATCCCAGCGCTGCCACTGACGACGCGGGCTCCAACTTAGCATCCCACATCCCGGAATGCGCCGGAGCATGTGGATCTCTATTGATTGGATTGTGCCACCGCCTCCGCTGAACCGCAGCACCGGGATGCAAGAGTACCTGAGCCCCAGAGGGCGGACCCGAGCCCGAACGGCAGACACCCCAGGGAGGACAGCGCTGGGATGCAAGAGCCCCAGGAGTACCCGCGGGACACACACTCAGATCCCACTGCAGTCACAGATCACGTTGGCCACCTGCCGCCTTGCTGGGCTGGAAGGAGCTGCTGCAAGTGTCCACCCCTCTCGCACCTGCACTTGCTGGCGGGGATACTTTTTTGGTCGGCGGCCGCGCGACAACGGTCTGGCGGCAACATGCAAGCTGGCGGGGATACGCGAAGCGTGAAGAATTGCCTACCCCCTTATTTGATCGAGGGCTTCTAAGGTGGCCCCAAGAGCGCCCGCAAGGCCTCTAAGAGAGCCCCGGGAAAGCACAAAGAGGGCCCCAAGAGAGCCCCCTAGGGCCTCCGACATCGCCCCAAGGTGGCCCATGCAAGCTGCCAAGAGGCTCGCATACCAAAAGATTCGCGAAGGCATTTACAGTTGACTCCTGGGCCTGCTCAGGCTGATCCCGACCTTCGGTTTGACGGCTGCTCCGCTTTATTCCACTGCGTGCTCCCACACTTCCCGAATCGGTGCGACTCGACCGGGCATCCTTGCCGGATGAGCTGGTGGGTACACGCGAAGCGTCAAGAGCCTAGACAAAAAGGAAGATGATGTACGAGGGAGGGGGGCCCTCCCCCCCTTCCGCTGCAGCTGCCGAGGCCGCCACTCGTCTCCTCATGAGCGTTCGCCTGCCGCGCTCGGCGAGGGCCAGCTCCGTGAACTGGTGGTACCTGGCCCCAGGGCAAGAGCCGAGCGGGGGGGGAGGGCAGCAAAGGCCCAGAGTCCGAGGATTCAGGATGCGTGCTTCTAGACGTCCTGCGCCCCGTCGGACCTCCGAAGCCTCCAGAGCCTTCTAGGGCCCCCTATGGACCGGAGGCCTCCAGAGACCTCCAGAGACCCAGACCTCAGGCATTAGGACAAACATCGGCGCAGTCGGGTTTTCCGGTCTTTGGGCATATGCTCGCTCCGGGCCCTAAGACAGCAAATGGAAAGGCACGAGATGCGAAAACTGGTCCCCAGGATGGAAGCGAGAGGTTTGGGGCCACGTCACGAATCAACGCCATCACGTACGTTGGATGTCTGGGTTTCTCCTCCTGCCCCCCGCTCCTCCAATTCCTCCTCTCCCTTCCCTCTCTCCCTCTCTCTCTCTCTCCCATTCGGTCCGCCGCGCGGAATACACCAAGCCTCCCCCTCCCCCTCAGCCTCCCCCTCCCCTTCCCCTTCCCATTCCCGTTCCCATCTTCCCTCGCTCAGTACAGACCCCTCCCGCCCATTGTAAATGACCACCACTAGCCTGGGCAAATTGATCATGCCGAGTCGTTTTTGACGGTCCGGGGTCCAACGAGGGGCCCCAGAGGCCGAAAATTGCAGAAGCACACCCATCGTTATTGCGCGACGAGAGGTCTGGGCGCCCCGTCCTCCCTCACCGCTCTCCTTGCCCGCCCCCTCCCCCCCCCTTCCTTCTTCCCCTCTTCCCCCCTTGCCACCTCCTTCTCTTTCACGCCTCACTCTTTCTCCCCTCCCTCACCCCACCACCTCCATCCTTCCCTAACCCCCTATCCGCCCTCCTTCCTCTTCGTCCTCATCCATCTACCCTTCTCGTCTCCTCCTCCATTTCCCTCCACCCCATCCCCCCCCCCCTTCCGCGCGGAACAGGACGAGCGGGCGCGAAGCAAGGCGTCGTCGTCCTCCTCGTTCTCCTCCTCCTGGTCCTGCTGCCCTCCTCCTCCTCTTCCTCCTCCTCCTCCCACTCATATTGCTCATCTTCCCTCCTTCTCTCCTCCTCCTCCTCCTCCTCCTCCTCCACCTCCTCCTCCTCCTCCTCCTCCTCCCCCTCCTCCTCCTCCTCTTCCTCCTCCTCCTCCTCCTCGATCCCTTTCTTTTCCTTACAAACAGCTCCTCCCTGTCGCACACCCAACGTGTCTGAAGGGCAGGCTGGGCGTTTCGCCTGTGATTTCTTCGCCAATAATGATCCTGGCGCTTGAAATCTGCAACAGGTTCACGGATGGAGGGCGGGCCGTTTTTTAAATGTGGCTCTCGCAATAGAGCCACGCCTCTGTGTCCTAAAAATTCGCGACAGCTTCGCGCATGGAGGGCAGGCGTTTTTCAAAATGTGGCTCTCTCGTTGGAGCTGCGCACATCCGCCTAAACAGTTTGCAACCGCTTCACGGATGGAGGGCAAGTCCATTTCAAGATGTGGTTCTCGCCTTCGCGCCGCGCGCATTCGCCTTAAACGTTCCATCAATTTCAAGGATGGGGCGCGGTTCCTTTTCAAAATTATGGCTCTCGCCTCAACAACGCGAAGATTCGCCTTAAAAGTGTGTAGCCGTAGGACGCAATTTAGGATTGGCAAAACCTCAACATCACGCTTTTTGCCCCAGCTCTCCTGTTTGTTGGGTCCTTGCTTTGCATTCGCAGCGCCGCGTGTCTCCTCCTCTCCTCCTCCCCCTCCCCCTCCTCCTCCTCCTGCTTCTCCTCCTCCCCTCTTCCGCCTCACTCTTCCCTCTACCTCCTCCTCATCCTCCCTCATCCCATCACCACCGCCATCATCATCATCATCATCAGCAGCATGCTCACTATCATCATCATCATCATCATCATCATCATCATCATCATCATCATCATCATCATCATCATCATCATCATCATCATCATCATCATCATCGTCGTCGTCGTCATCAGCAGCAGCAGCAGCATCAGCATCGGCATCATCATCATCATCATCATCGCCACCATCATCACCATCAAAATCATTATCATGATCAGCAGATTAAGAATAATCATCATCAGCCCGCCGACCCTGTCGGCGTGTGTGAGGGGCTTTTCCGTTCGAGCCGTCATCTCCGTTATTCTTTGTACTCGTCGTCTCTGTCCTTCCCTTTCCCTGGGACTCCTCTTCCCCTGGGCTCCAGCCAAGCCGACCTTGAGCAACGTCGTAATTGAGTCGAAGGGAAGCCCCTTCCCTTTGATCCCTCCCCCGCCGGGAGGGGGGGGGGGTAGCGACCCCCCCCCCCGGGTCAGATACCACGCCCCCCCCCCGTACCGACCTTGAGCAACGTCGTAATTCACTCGAAGGGAAGCCCCTTCCCTTTGATCCCTTCCCCGCCGGGAGGGGGGAGGGGGGTATCGACCCCCCCCCCGGGTCAGATACGACGCCCCTCCCCCGTGCACACCTTGAGCAACGTCGTAATTCAGTCGAAGGGAAGCCCCTTCCCTTTGATCCCTCCCCCGCCGGGAGGGGGGGGGGGTAGCGACCCCCCCCCCGGGTCAGATACGACGCCCCCCCCCGTACCGACCTTGAGCAACGTCGTAATTCAGTCGAAGGGAAGCCCCTTCCCTTTGATCCCTCCCCCGCCGGGAGGGGGGGGGGGGGGGGGGTAGCGACCCCCCCCCCGGGTCAGATACGACGCCCCCCCCTTCCCTTTCCCTGGGACTCCTCTTCCCCTGGGCTCCAGCCAAGCCGACCTTGAGCAACGTCGTAATTGAGTCGAAGGGAAGCCCCTTCCCTTTGATCCCTCCCCCGCCGGGAGGGGGGGGGGGTAGCGGGGGGGGGTAGCGACCCCCCCCCGGGTCAGATACGACGCCCCCCCCCGTACCGACCTTGAGCAACGTCGTCATTGAGTCGAAGGGAAGCCCCTTCCCTTTCCCTTCCCCGACGGGGGGGGGAGGAGGGGTCCCGGGGGGGGTCCCGGGGGAGTCCCGGGGAAGTCCCGGGTCAGATACGACACCTCCCTCCCCCACCTTCTCGTCCTTCTCCCCGTTCCCCAAAACCATCCCACAGCCCGTGCCTCTTGCTGCGCATTGCGAACAGGGTCGGCGGCACCGGCCGTCAGGCCTTCGCAATCATTATCATGATCAGCATATTAATAATAATCATCATCAGCAGCAGTATCGTCGTAATCAGCATCTTCATCATCCCAATCATCACCGTCGTCATCATCATCCTCATCACCACCATCGCCATCGTTATCGTCATCGTCATTATCATCATTAGCATGATCGTCATCATCATCATCATCATCATCATCATCATCATCATCATCATCATCATCATCGTCATCGTCATCAGCATCATCATCATCGTCTTCGTCATTGTCATCATCATCATAATCGACATCATCATCGTCATAATCGTCATCATCACCATCGTCATCATCAACAACATCAGCAGCATCATCGTCATCACCATCACCATCAGCATCATAGTGATCATCATCAGCATAGTCATCATCATCAGCAGCATCATCATATTCAGCTTCATCGTCATCATCAGAATCATCATCATCATCATCAGTATCATCATCGTAAGCATCACCATCGTCATCATCAACAACATCAGCAGCAACCGCATCGTCATAATCACAGTCGTCGTCAACCTCACCACCATTATTTTCGTTACCAGGCTGAGGATACTGGCGGGATGATCACACGCTTCGTAGCCCCAGAAGGGGGCTCCACCGAAGGCTTTCGTGGCAGGGCCCTCATGGCTACCCAGGCCCATTCTGGCACACCCCTAGCACGCTTCGTGGCCCCATGGGGAACACCGCCGAAGGCCCCAATGGCAGGGGCCGCACGGTTACCCGGCCCCATAATTAGTGGCACGCCCCTAGAATGTTTCATGGCGCCCAAAGGAGCTCCAACGAAGGCTTCAGCGGCAGGATCCGCGACCTTCTGCGGGGGCCGCCTGCGGGTTCGGGCGGTCAGCTGAAGAAATTCCTGGCCCGCGCGGGGGCTGGCAGGAAGACGGCCAGGGCCGTCGACGCGAAACTGGGCTTCGAAGGGTTTCTCCGCGCAGCAGGGGCCTGAGACGGCTCAGGACTTGCAGTCGCGAGTAGCAGTCGCTCCGCCCCCGTTGAACTTGAATTGGGGCTCGTCCCGCCCAGGCCCGCAGCGCAGGGGCGGCGTTGCAAGCTGTCGCTGATGTTCTCCAATCAGTGATTGCACTGAAGGGGTCCTAGCGGATATTGAAGTATTTGGCGAAACCGCCGGGCCGATTTCGGTGGGCGGCTGGGTTCTGGGGTTCCCGGTTTCCGGGTTCCTGGTTGCAGGTTCCGGGCTGATTTCGGCGGGCGGCGGGGTTCACGGGTTCCTGGGTTCCTGGTCGATCTTCCAATCGATTGGTCTCACCATCGATATCATTACCCACCTCTCTATCGATCTCACTAACGATATCACACTCGATCTAACTATCGGTCTCGCAATCAAGCTCACTATAGATCGCACGAGCGATCTCACGATCGACCTCACGATCGATCTCGGTGAATCGTCTTCATTATCGGTCTAACGATCAACCTTACAATCTTCCTCGCTATCGATTGCGCAATCGATCTCACTATCGATCTCACAATCGATCTCAATAGCCGTATCACTACTTGTAAAACCATCCACTGATTTGAGTTTTTCTCTGGTGTAATTTCTGACCAGAGGAATCCAGACACCATTGGCCTTCCTCCTCCTCTCAACACCCGCCCCCCTGCTGCGCGGCGCATTCGTCGTCGCGTTCCCGCGACCGATTTCAGTCGCGAGAATGAGCGCGTGAACGGGCTTTGGGTGATGAGTTCCGATTCTTGGCCGAGCGTGCAGGGGTCCTGCAGATCCTTCAGTGGTGCATTGAATGTTGCTGCGAATATCCGCCACGCGTTTGCAATGGGTCGGGCCCTTCGCCTAAGTAGCACGTGTGGCAGGACATGTTTTGCGCACGACGCACTCGGAAGTTACAACTGTCAATCGA